CGTACAGAGCCATAGGTACCTGAGCTGAAATTCAAAAACGTCTTTCCCCACCTTTGCCTCGATTTTGCTCAGGGAGCCCATGAGCAGGGCTCTCAGGCCCTGCTGCAGGACTTGAATTTCTCTATCTTCTCATGGAAGGGTTTGGATAGAGGGACAAAAGCACACTCACAAGGCAGCAGCAATTAGCAAAACAGATACAGAACGTCAGTCTGTCCTGCCTGTAGATCTGGCTCCCCAGGGTCATTATATATGAATGTGTTAAAAGGCAGCAGATGTCCTTTGGATTGCACACAAGACAGGGCAGCTCGTTATCCCACTTGCACTTACGTTCTGCTAGCTGACCATCGGCGGTACGCATCCAGCGCAGAGATCACCCTCACAAACGTGGGGAGAAAAGGGTGCCAATGCTGCAGAGCTGAGTGCTTGGAAGTCAGGAGATGCCTGAGCAAAGGATGCCTGTGCAGCCTGAATTCTTCCACTCCTGAATTAACACGACCACAGAGCCTTTATTTTTCCCACAGGCTCCTCTGCCCTGGAGGGCAGGATGGCTTGTGCTCGCTGAATGAGATGCTGTTTCTACATTTGCTTTATGCTGTCCTTGTTCTGGTTGTTGCCCCGCTTTACTGTCCTGGTGACACTACAAACCCTGACCTGGAGACAAAACTATCCATGTGTTTCATGTTTTTTTCTCTCACTCTTGTGATGTACAAGCATGCACTCCTCAAACTAGGAACTCATCTGCAGAACCCTGGCAACCACAATGGAGCAAGGAGTATTATCCTTATTTTACAAATGGATAGAAAAAGAGATTATCTCCATTTTGAGCACTTGCTGTACTCCTTGGGCTCTGCTTTTTCTAGTTCTGTTCATTGATAGAAACGTGAATTCAAAAGATGGACCTCACTAACCCCATTTACAAGTCTCGGTGCTTATCATTGCTGGGAATTCGGATCCAGAGCCCCAGTCATCCAAGCAAACCTGAGCAACACTCAAGGAACAATCACATATGAGAAGTTTGGCTAAAATATCTGGGAGAAGCAGGCAGAGAATTCAGTTTACCTGGATCTCTCATAGCCATCTCAAGCATGACACGATGCTTTATTCGCCATCCTCCCCCTCATTTGCTGATTTATCTCCTGAGTACAGATTGCCTTGTGCACTGGAGGGGGTACGGATCCTATAAAACAAGTAGTGCACACGTTCATGCAATTAAAGGATGTGTCATACGCACAGAGGGGCTTTAAGGTAAATTGAGGTTGCAAAGCAAATACTGTGACATAAATAAGACTTAATACACAAACAATAACGCAGTGGGGAAAAAAAACCACACAAATGAATTAAAATGAAAGTTGGTTGTAAAGAATGGTTTCCAATAGCTGAGCTTATGTGAGATCCTTAGCTACCATAAGTCATCAGCAGATTTTAGTGGAGCAGCAGCGTTATGTACCACCTGGGATCTGCTCTTTGCCTCTTGTTATTTTCTTGCATTTGAGTTCAAAAGAAACGCATGCAAGTTTGATTATGAACACTATTCTTCATTATCAGACACTAAGAAAATTAAACTGGGCTTCTTAATTGTTGCTCCTGCTGCAGAACTCTTTGTGAGTATTTGTAACGATATACATCCGTCTCATTGGATTTCTGATTTGGATGTCACATCTGTTGTTTCACTGGTGCTCATAAAATATTAATATCCCTGCTGTAGCACTTAAAAGTCTCATTGTATTAGGGAATTTATGTCCTTCCCTGCAGCAATTACATCTCTTTGCTGCACAACCGACTATCAGCCGTTCTTTCACTCTTCCTGTTTGTAGAAGGGAAATTTGGGTTCTTTGCAGAGTTGTTAAGAGGCATCTTTCATCTTAGGAAGGATTACTTGCTGCCCTAGGATCAGTGACAATTGGAAATAAATAAAGAAAGAGGCATTTTAGAAATCAGAGATGAATTCTAGCTAATATAGATTATACTAGTACTATTGTACCCCACATTTTCTTTAATAGAAAACCCAAAGTCACTGGGAAAGAAAAAAAAAGAGACCCAAGTTCTTTTTTTTAAGATTTGCCTTCATTATATGGCATGTAGTTAGTGAACTCTACTTTTTTTCCCACCAGCCTTGAGGGCAGCTCACTTTGTAGAACTGGAGCAAAGTGAAAAGCGGCACGTCGCAGTGCAGGGACCAGGGTGTAACAGTTTCTGGGTTTCCATAACTAGGTTTTTCCCCCCACCAATAACGAATGACCTGAGTGGAATGGGGAGGTGAAAGGTCGCTCTGTTCCCCAATTATACAGAAATCATTATTTCTACCACCTTTTAAGAGATATCTATTTCCTCAGTGAGGTGCATTTGTAATGGGAAAAAAGCCATCTGTGATGAATCGCCTCCTCTTCCCAACAGCGCCTTCTGCACAGAAGTGTTGGATGTGAAGACAGAGGGCCTGCATCCCCGTGAGTCTGTTGAGCTTGAGCTGCTTTAACATGCTGGCAGTGCCCCCTTTGTCCCGTGGCTTAGAGCACACGTTTCTTTACACTCACACTTATGGTGGGATTCACATGTACGACCTCTACATTTGGGCCAGCGATACTACGAACCTTCACTGTCCCCCTCTCTGGCACCAATCATTCTTACTCAGCTGGACTGAGTTGAAGATAATGAACTAATTACTCTACTCAACTCAAGGTACCTATCCTGCCCACAAGAGGCAGGCCATTTCCTCCTGGCTGTGGAGGATGCCACAGCATCCTTGGGGCCGCAGCCCCGGCTGGGGGCCCCCA